GCTGTAGGACAATAGATGTGCTGGTTCAGTGCTTGTTAAGGAAGCAGTGCCCAAACAAAAAGACACTGGAAAATGTGACTAATTATTACATCTCCTTGAAAATATTACTGAAAGAAGATACACATGCTGGAAAGACACAAAGTTCAAATACTGCAAAATATGAAGAACATTTCAGTACTAAATATCCATCTTCCTTTCTATTGGGAAGTAATCAGCTAGTGGTACACATACCTATTTTCAGAAGTGTTACTGGAGGATGCACAATAAAACTCTTGACATACTCTGAGAAGTCAAAGAGAAATACAGTGTGTTTTCTTGTAAACTAATCCAGGAGCAAGGTAAAATTGTCTTTCTTCTGCCAGTGAGCAAGTGTGTGAGTATGGACACATTGCATTCATTCCTCCATTGTATCCATTCCACTCTTAGTGTCTTAAGAGCAAAGAATGACAACTCTCATAAGTCTTGTAAAAGGTCTTTATTCATAGACCTCAGTGTGCTTTATAAAAGGAGATAAAATTCAGTAATTTTGGTACAAGATGAAAGATTCAGAAAAAGTTGCACTTAACACTAAATAATTCTGATTTAAACTCAAATGTGTTATCCACCAAGCATGAAATATATCTGAACACTGGATAGCATACAGGATTCTTATTCTTGATGAGACTTCTGAAGGGAAATGAATATAATCAAAAATAGAAAACCAAAACAAATAAATTAAGCAGCTAAAAACTCAAACTGGCAGTAGTTTCTTGCCATATGCTGTGCTCAAAACTTGATGGTTAAACATGCAAAGACATCAGGTCATTGCCTGAAAATAAGAACCTGGGCCTCAGTTAGCTGACCAACTGTGTTGCCAGCATGTATGAATGATTTACACTACTGGAAATGCAGAGCACTCTGTGGAATAACAGCGTGTGACATTCTATTACAAAGCTAATGTTGAATTAGCTGCCTGGAACTTGACTGATGAATGAAATATGCTTATACATTTAGCATTAACCCAACATAAAAATCTTGTAGAATCTTAGCCAAGAAGGTGGTATTGTTATTATAAAACCATTTTGCTTTAAGACAAATTGAGGCCATAGAAGGTAATCTTAATGTCAAGTATTTTTACATTCTTACAATTAAACTAACCTTAACTGTATATAGCATACATACACCAGAAATGCATTTTAAAAATAATTATATAATTTTATTTTATTTAATTCCTGTGTGAGGAATTTGATTGGATTACAGATATAATACATAATTGCAGAATTATTTTTTTCTATATTCTAAAATAAAATTTGTTTTTATAAATTGCAAAATAAATCTTAAAATACAAAATCTCAATTCCTGCTATTTCTTAATGTCTCCTACTTGGTTTTTATCTTTTTTTGGGGTGGATGGGGTGTTTTCCCACCAAGTATCATAGGTCACCTTGTTCATTCCCTTAGTTGCAAAGATATACACTTATATATATTTTTCAGTTCCAAGAGATATGCAATTAACCTGTTCTACAAGATTTTTACATTGAATTACATTAAAAATTAAATTAAAAATACTTACATTTTAAAATCTATGCATAATTATATATTTTCATTGAACTTAAAAAAAATCTAAAACAAACAAACAAACACAAAAAAAAACCCCAAACCAAAAATCAGCAAACAGACAAACCACCAGAAATATCGAAATTAAAAAATACTCTTAAGAATTTTCCTAATTTTTTTTCAGACAAAACTAATTTAAATTGTTTAATTAAATAAGAATAGATTTACTGCATTACCTTATCTGGAATGTTTGAGGTTCAGCAGTCACTAAAATGTGACCCTCTTGGAAAAACTCCATAGGATATCAAATCTTCAGATATATCTCTACACTTTGAATGGATTCCAAACCCTCAGGTATGATCCTGGCTGAAGGATTAAAATTTAATCAGGATGATAGCTATCATGAGACACACTGTGTACCTGGTTCATAGCCACAAAAGAAAACTTGCATTGCAGGCACAATCAGATCTTGCTCCTCATGTTGGACTACAGCTCCTGTTACTGCAAAACTTTGAGAAAAAAAGTGAATTACAAAATAAATAAATCAACAGAAATTCAACCCATATGAAATGCTTAATTGGGAACAGCTGGCATTTTTATCATCCTTTCCATCCTGCTAGTTATTTATGAAATATAATGATGAATTATTATGCTTCTCACTATATTTTCGTACATGAATCTCTTTTGAGCTGTCTTCTAAAATAAGTGCACTTCCCACAAAAATTAAATATCTCTGTTTTTAAATTCCATCAGTAATAGTGATGTCAAAGATGTCTTATAGGAAAATAAATATTAAAATTAAAACTGAATTATCAATTTATGACATAGTGATATTTTCTCCATAATTTAGGAAAAAGAAATAATGAATTGCAATGAAATTAATTAATTATGTTATCCAACAACTCTTACTCAAAATATTGATTAGAACTCTAGAAAACTGCCAAAGGTAGTAAGAAAATAAGTAAATAATTGCATACGTTCTGAGAGCTTTGGAAGGGACCATCAGGGAATTTAAATCTTCAGATATTAAGACCAGTTAATGCATAGATGAATCCTAGGGATTTTGTTTTGGTTTTTTTTTTCCTATGGAGGTGAAGTAGTTTTTACCATTTAAGAACAAAAGTACTATTCTGTCAGATTTTGGCAGAAAATTATCTTCCTGCCTGGAAGGTGGGCGAGAGAAATATCAGAAGTGGCATCATCCCTACAACCAATTTTGTCTCACATCCCAACTGCATGTTTCAAAGAGTAAGAGGATCAACTTTGCACAGGTATGGGAAGAACAAAGTCTCAAGGAAAGGACTGAACTTAAGGAGAAATAAGATAGACAACCTTTCAGTTGGTGAATCAGTGGGAAAACAAAGAAAATGGAAAGTAAATCTTCATATCTCTGCTCTCCACAGCAGAGCTAAATGAGCACATAACCATGTGGCCCAGTAACTCTGCTGTTACTTGCAATAGACCATGTCTTATGATATGCTTCCAGTGACATCTGGGCTGGGCTGGGTCTGCCAGAAGGGTTCTTTTAGCCCATAACTTGTCTAATAATAAGTTTTTCAATATTTATCTGAGTGAATAAAGGCACTGTACTGTTGCCTTGAGAACGAAGCCTTCTGATCTTCTTTTCTTAGTTTCTAGTCACTTTCTCAGGAAAGTAACCATAAACATAGATGTTTATACATTCCATTAAACAAATGTCTTTTGATGGACATTTCTCATGACCAGTGTGGTTAGGAAGGTGGTAACCTAACTATCCAATCCCTGGTCATTGTTAAGAATCTATAAAAACTGAAACAACAGAATAAATCACTCTTTTTTTTCTATCACACATTGAGTTGTGTCTGCATGAATCATTTCGTGTCCAACAGTGACACTGTACCCTTTTCTTTGGCACCTCAAAATGATATTTTTCAAAAGTAGACATAAACCCCACAACAATAACCCACTTCTAAAATATTAATATCTCCATATTTTGAGTGCCTTTCCTCTCACTCCTGCCTCCTCCTCCAGAAGGTGTGCCCTTGCTCTGCTGGAGCAATAATCTTGTCAAGACACAAGAAAGCACCAAACCAAGAACTGCATAAATTGTTCAAGCATCTTCAGCAGCTCATCTCTTTGGGCCTCTTGTGCACAGGAAAGAATGTTTTGGTTTTGTCCATAGAAAGTAGGAGAATCTACATATGAATTCTGATTGCTTTTTGAAATATATGTTGAAATAAAATATAACAAATGCTATTTCTAGTTAACACATTCAGTGATTGCATCGTCAAATTAAGAGTTTTCTCAGCATCAAATGATGTAAATCAGAAAAGACAGTATCAAGTGTTAGTGGTTTAGTAGTTAAATGCTCAAGATCATTGCAACCAGTGCCAAACACGAAGCAATAATCTTCTGGATCACTGAGACCATAGTTTATCTCAATCACCTCTATCCATGTTTGGAAGAATTCTGATTCAATTTTTCTTAATGATTTCCTCTTTATACTGTATTATTAAAAATATCAAGTGTTCTCAGTGCAGATTTATTAAGATTTATACCACTACAATTCTTGATTAAAGGTAATGGTATTTCTTTTGTTTTTTTCTTTCCTTTTTTATTTTCAAACTGATGTGACAACATAAAATATTAGGTTGTTTTCCTAATTCCATCAAAAATTAAATCAATCACTTGCAGTCAAAAATAAAATGCTAGACCTTGGTTCAGATGTTGAAGTACTAGGTAAAGTAATATTTACACACCCTCAAAATGGTGAGCATTAAACCTTAAAAGCCTGCTTTATACACAGTAATGAAATTAAATTTATTGAACTCTTTAATGGTAATGATGAAAAAAATCCATTCTCAATTATCAATGTCACTATTTGAATTAACTAGCACCAATACCACAATTTCGGTCTAATTTACCTTATGGCATTGTAAGTCCTAGGAAGATTTATCTTCTGATAAACTTTTTATGTATAAATCACTTGGAAGTAATTTTGTATTTAATATAATCAACAATTAAATCAGATGCAGTATGCAACAAGCAGAAGTTTCTATTATAATCAGTGGGTTGTTTTGGTTTGTTTTCTCCTAATGTGGTCTGCATCTATTCAGAAATGTTTTATTGATTCTTGCATCATTATTCTGAGTTCATAAACAGCAGTAGATCTAACACAATGATTGTGTCAGACTATCTTATTGAACCTACAATGAAGTATTAATTCATTTGAAATAATTTTCCTCTGGTTTCCAATATAATTTTTAATTTAATTTTTTTAAAATTTATTTCTAGTACAGGTGAGTATAATACAGAAAGAATTAGCAGTTTTGTATGTGGGACTGTTCAGTCAAGACAAAAATAATTTTATGACCTGAAGCATCTGTCACTTTCTGGTGCAAACACTAGCTAAAATATTTCAGTTACTTCAGCTTTGGATAGTTCAGCTGTAGGTATAAGAGTAGTCATTTTTTTCTCTACCTCTAGGCTCTGTGAAACCTCTTCTTCCAGACCATGCTTCTGTCCACATCTCCTTCCAGGCAAATATGGAAATTTCTATTTGTGAGTGTGAGTGTGATCTTCACTTATTATTGTCATAGAATGCATTTTTTGCCCAGAACTTTCTGAAGTTTGGAATTTCTGTTTTTGTCAAAGAACTCTGTCAAAAAAATAATTCTGCAACCACTTAAATTTTTTTGCTATTGTTATGTGTCATTTTATTCCCATTTTCATACTTACCAACAATTATATGTATTCTAACTAAAAAGCACCACCTTTATGAGGGATACTCTAAGAAAAATTAAAGAGATTCTGAGAATTTCTATTTACTTTGTTGTACTCTTGGTCACAAGATAATTTTGCTTTCCTTTGAGAAAACTTTGTGAACTATACATTTCCTTACTTACTCATATTTCACATTTTTCTAATATTTCTATAACATTTTTGTAACTATTCATATTTATTCATTTAATTAAATAATTGTAGCACCCTATTTACAGCCTCTAAATTTTACTCATTGTAATAAGAGAAGTATAATTTTCCCTTTTCTGTTGTTTGTTTTGTTAAATATTGTTAAATAGACTGCTTAGGTCCATGGGCAAAAAGATTTGATAGAATACTGTACAGGGACACTGAATGAATGACATGAATGAAAAATTACATTTATAATGTCTTAAAATATTTGGAAGCATAGAAATCCTATAGAGAAAAGTGAAGAAAATGGGTTACTGCAAAAAAAACCCCACCAAGTGAAAGCCAGAGATCATTTATTCTCTTCCAGATTTTAATCAACTAATGTTGAAATATTTACTATAATTTTGCAGAATAATTGAAATTAAGTTATTCCAAGAAAGAGACTACTCAGTCAAGAAAATTAATAAATTAAAATTACCCATTGAAAATATAAATTTGTGTAATATTTTGGTGATACAAAAATGTTTATAAAATGCCGAATTATGGAGGACTCTTAGTTGGGTCCTAATGTCTCAGTGCAAAATGTCTTTTATAAAACATTGATTCATTCATAATTTAATGTTGTCCTTAGAAAAAGTGTTTTTTTATTTGGTGCCCATCAGAAAAGGACTGAATAATGATAATGATAATAATAATGATAATAATAAGCTGACCTTTACAATCTGTGTAGAAGACAAAAATCAAAATTATACAAATTATAATATGAAATGAGAATTATTTATTCACTTGTGGTTTAAGATATTATTAATGCAAAGTTTGATATTTAGGTTGTGCTATTCATGTATATCCTCTAATTCAACCCTTGTATTTCCTTGATTTTTCTTTTTTAAAATTTAGGTTCACTTGCACGGGGGGATTTTTTAGTGAGAAAACAATTGGAGGGAGAGATCTGTGATCTCTTCTGCTTCATCAAACTTGCCCTTCTTTTTGTATTTTGCCTGGAGCACATAGTTCATCTCCCACAGGAGCACAACAGGGTTTTTACATTTGATTCTGTCATTACCCACTCAACTTCACAGAGAAGTTATATTTTTCATGTTTCAGGATCAGCAAGTGCTCTCTAGATTTTGCTGGACACTCTGCATTCTCTAAACAGAACTCATTTTACCTCCTTAATTTCTTTTATTCCTATTAATTAGATGCCCAGTAATATGTAAATTCCTGCAATTTCAGCATTATGCCTCCATCACAGTTTTACTCCCACATTTACTGCTTGTATTAAAACCACAAGTAAACAAGCAAACAAAAATTATCAATCTAGGTTACAAGCAAAGAGAAATCAGATTTTCTCCTGCAATAACAAAATCTTCTATGCTATTTATTGGTGATACCATATAAATATATATACTCCTTAATGCCTACAGTGTTAGTCTCACAGTCTCTTAAACTTGTTCTGTATATCATGGGTAGGGCTGGATTGTCATTTCCTACTTATTATATATCCATATTTTCCTACTTCCATCCTAAGATGGAAAGAAAATATTATCTTTTTAATTGAACCTAAACATGACAGTGTGCTCTTGTTCACAATTTGCATGAGAAGATCCTAAATGAATTCAGCTGTTGACAATGATATTCCTAACTAGTTTACCAAACTTACAGCATAAAAAATAAGGAACATGAACACCCAGTACAGAATTAAATAATCAGAACTTCATTAAAAATGATAAAAAATAAGATAAAATGAAATAAAATAAAATAAAATAAAATAAACAAAATATACAGATTAACATAAGTGCACAAATCTCTGTTAGAAGTTTGTAGTGGTTTAACTCCAGTAATTTACTGTAACCCCACACAGTCGCTGGTTCACTGACCTGTTCAGTGAGATGGGGGTGAGAATCAGACGAGTAAAAGTGGGAAAACTCATGGGTTGAGGGTCAGCCAGTTTAATAAGGAAAGAAAAACCCATGCACAAGCAAAGCGAAACAAGGAATCCTTTCACCAATTCCCATAGACCGGCAGGCAGGCATTCTCCTGGGAATGTTCCACCATTCCAAGGAGAGTAGGACTCCATGACACAAAATGAGAAGGCAAACATGGTGACTCCAAGTTTCCTTTCTCCTTTTACCCCTACCTTTGCATGCCGAGCACGGTGCCATATGGTCTGGAATATACCTTTGGTCAGCTGGGGTCAGCTGTCCTGGCTGTGTGCCCTCCCAGCTCCTCTGCACCCCCAACCCCTTGGCTCATGGGGTTCAGTGAGGAGCCAAAAAGGGCTTGACACTGTGCAAACACTTCTCAGCAGGAGCTGAAACTTCCCTGTTACCAATGCTGGTTTCAGCACAAGCACAGGACATGGCCCCAAAAGAGCTACTGTGAAGAAGATGAACTCCACCCAAGCCAAAACCAGCACAACAAAAATAAATTGCTAGATCTAAGTAACCTAAAATCAGAAGATGAGCTGTAAGGATTCTGTAACCTTGTTTCTAGTTAATTTAGAAATAAAGGGGAAAATTTTTTAATAAGCAGCTGGAGAGTAGATAGAGAGCTCATTCTCACCTTTTGAGCAAAAAATCCCCAAAAATCTGAAGTAAATTTTCTCTAGACAACAATTTTTTTGTTACATTTCCTGGATATTTAACATTGTGCCCCTGCCCAGGGAGGCAAAGATTTCATTTCAGATAAGCATTGTTAAAGTGAGAGGTGTGGGCAAGAGGGAATTCTATCCTCTGCCTCAGAGGATGGGCCCTGTGAGCCCAGGAAGAAACTCCACCCCAGACCCTTCATGGGGTGGCAGCCCAGGGTGTTCTGATTAGGTTTGAGCCCCTGGGGTTTCTCCCTTGCTGAGTTCCTAGTGGTACTTGAGCCTGAACTCCACCCTGGGTCTGTCCCTCAAAACCATCACCCTGCCTCTGTTTGGGGCTCTCTGTCTCTGGATCTGAGTTTGTTCCTGTGCTGAATAAATGGTTTCATGAGTAGAAGCCCATCTCGTTGGTGTTCCATGCTGGTTCCAGGTAACTGTAGTTTCTCTGGATGTGATCCTGTGTCTGCAGAATGCAACATAACATGGCTTGACTCCCAACATTATTTTTTAGATGAGGTCATAGCAAAAATAAAATTTTTAGATCAAAAGAAAAAAAATTGTTTTCAATGTATTAAAATGAATAGGTGGTCACCTGAAGAGAAAGACTAACTGATTGGCTAACGTATTACTATAAATTAAAAATCTCACATTCAAGTTATATGATGGACTGCGTCATACAGAACATCTATTATTTTGATTTTACTACTAGATTACTAAGATCTGAAAGGAAGACTTTTTAGTTTTCTATCTCTACTCAGTATCCCATTTTGACATGGATCTTATTACTCTCAGTTGGTTCTTTTCAGAGGGAGGTCCATTTCTCCATATTACTGCATGACATGATGAGCTGCTTATAGTGGTAAATTGTATTATTACTTACAGCTCAACAGTTTATAGAAGAACAAATTACTAGGGCCTCTGAAGTCTTTAGATAGTATCAGTGCTTATTTATCAGTGTTTATTTATTTTTATTATTTGTTGTTTTTTATTTAATTATTGTTGCTTTTCTTCTTATGTAAGTATTTTTTATGAGACCTTTTTCTGGATATAATTCATCCAGTTCATAAACAATTCCTTTTTAACAACCTCCTTTTTATTGTCCAAAGTGCATGGAGTAATCATCTAGATAACAGAGAATTCTCCATGGTTGGATGGTTGACTTTTCCAAAATAGTGAAAAATACTAATGTGACTTTAGGTCATTAGGAGGCCTCCCTTTGTTCAGCATCGTTTTACAAACAAATGAACTAATGAACAAACCAAACCCCAGAATCCTAAATTTCTAAGCATTATTGTATAGGGTACTGAAAATTCTAAGGGATTTTTTTCTCTCCGTAAAAGTGTGTCTTTTATTAAAACAATTGGGTTTTTCTGAGTTTTTTTTCTGTTTTTTTTTTTTTGATATACACAGAGTGAAACTTAATCAGTAATTTAAATGTACACCAAATTGGAACATTTTGAATCCCAATTAAAATTAACGGCTGCAATTAATTCAGGATTATTAGTCACCATCTTGTTCCCTGTTCCAGATGCTGACATTTTGAAGTAAATGAGACAGTGTTTGGCAAATCTATGTCACAAACAACACCATCAAGGGATGCTGTCAGCTGTTTGTTTGTCAGAAGAATGTTAAAACCTTTCTGTCTGCCTTACAGTCGCCTTTCCAAGGGATCTACCAATCACAAAAGCTGCCAGATCACCAAGTGCATAATGTGAAAAAGCTTCCATGAGTCGTGAGATAATCCTGCTCAACTCCTCATGTGTATTAAATTAATCTTTCTCATTAACATGTAAGGAAATAGAAATTCAGATTTGTTTGTACATATTTGTCAAGAGGACTAGTATTTCCTTTGTATAAAAGTTACAACCATATTCTTGAGAGAACAGGATCTTACAATAAGGAATTTAAGAGCCATCTTTATTTTGTCCTTATTTCAAGAAGCAATTTGTTCAGAGCTTTTGCACATATTTGTTAAGCTATGCATTCTAACCCAAAACTAATTCAAATCCAGACAAATGTGAAATTCTTATTTGTCTGGGGAAACATTTCATTAAATATGCATTAAGTCTCACTCTTACATGTGATTATTACACTACATTCATTTTGAAACTGATGAAAAGCAAAGCACAGACAAAATTTCACCTGAAGTTAATGTGAGAGTCTTATAGTAGACCCTTAGTACTCATGCCCCACACCCAGTGTTCCAGTGAATAAATTACATCTTCTTTACAAATTGAACAAAAATCTATGTTTAATTTCTCATATTTGATTGGTAGTAAGATGCCTTTGGATTGTGATATGCAACATGATAAAATCTTGTAAACACTGCAGAATAAAGGTGTATTTTGTCACCTTAGGTTATTATTTCACAAAAGCTAAAATCTAACAAAAACTTTAACATGTCAAAAATAGCCCTTTTATTGAGGCCACTGGAAAAGATATCTGCCTTTAATTTCAAAGATGACCTATGCAAATAAAATTTCTCCATGTGAAACAGACAGAGTGAAATATTAATTTGGTAAACTTCAGTAGACATGTCATGCAACAAATACGCTTAGGGGGCAAGTGGTTAGGTGCTACTAGTTTTTTAAGCATGTGAGTAGAAAATAACACATTGTTTTCAGATGTTTTCAGACAGGCCTGAAACTGTGTTTGCCATTTCTTTTCAATTGGCAACATTAACAGCAGCAAAGTCTGCAAAAATTCTGGTATTTAGGACAAGTTTATCTGTATTGCCCACGACTGCCAATAGATAAAAAGTATCTTTTTGCACAAGAGATATCTAGGTTCATACATTTTATTTATTAAATTCAGTTTCCCAGAAAATCACCACTTTTCTATCATAATTTCATTCTATGTCACAACTACAACTACAAATTACTTCTCTGGGCTTAGGCTGTGCTCAGCAATCAGCACAGTTAAACCATATATCACAAGCAATTGAATCAGGGCAGACCCATTTTTAGACTTGCAATCTATTAAAACTTCTGTTTTCTGGGAAAGGCTCCTAAATGTTTTGTGGATGGCTGCTGTTAAGTTTATGTTTCTGTTGCTTTACAGAAACCCAGACCTGCAAAATACCTGTAACTCCCTTGACAAATGTACAATTCTGCTCCCATCACTGCTTTATGCCTGCATGCTTCTGAAACTTACAGACCCTTTCTAACTTACCATAAGTCCAGTAGTTAATATGATAAAAGATAATATCTTATCCACTTTAGCTTGCCAAAAATCTGTGAGAGAGAAATTCTTGAAGTAGATCATGTTATGTTTCTGTAAGGGATGTGTTTTTCCTGTTTCACAGTCTGAAGAAATCAGAAAGCAGTTTTACCTTCCCTGTAGATTAGCAAGAGAAGTTTCCAGGTTTATTGAGCCAGCTCAATGGCACTCAATATCTCTTTCTTTGGCACATAGGTCAGAGCTTTTCCCAAGGCATATTTTTGTTCGAGGCCATTCACAATGTACTACATGAATGAGTACATATGATGGCTACAGTATGACAATATATGATGCAGAGCATTGGGATTTCTGACAATTGTTATTTCTTGATTTATTTTATGTTTGAAATTTTGGGATGCAACCTTGGAAACAGAGCTGAAAGAGTAAGAGGAAGCAACCATGTGAAGAACAAATTATCAATGTGATAGGGAGACCTCCCTGATGGACAGCCTCAGAAATGGAAAGAATTTGTTCATGTGATATTGAACTGTAAGTTTTCAATATGAGATGATGGAAAAGGAAAGCCAATTCTTTTCATTCTAGGGCTGAATATGCAGAGATATCTCAAGAGAAAGAAAACAGGTAGCGGTTTTCTCTGGACATTTCTGGTGGAGTAATAGGAGGAATATGGGATTCAGTTCAAGAAACTACCTCCCAGATTACATTTGTAAACTGTAGGGACTTCAGAAAAGACCATGACAATTCTAGAAAATTACCCATCTCTGGCTTGTTTAATGCCTGGAGTGAAACAAGAAATCAGTAAGCATTAGAAGGATGAAAACCCAAAAGACAAAATTGTTATTTTAAAGAATGCATGGGAGTGCAAAAAGAAATAGTGTTGTTATGATGTTGAATAACGGTAAAGAAAGTTGAACTGGCTATTTCAAACATATCGAAGTTCTATTAAAGCAGCAATATTACCTTTCTGAGGGAAATGACAAGAACCTCTTGCTAAATAAAATAAATAAATATTTTTTTTAAAAAAGTAAAGCTACTTTTTTATACCTTACATAGCAAAATAAAGAAGAAAGACAGCTCCTGGAGACCTGGGCTGACAGGTGTTTTTTTCCTTTTATTTTAGTTACCTCTCCTTAGTACATATATATTCATGATCAAGAAAAATAAATCACTCAGTTCTGAAAACTGAGGTCAAAATCCTATTTTAACAATTTTAGAACACAGTTTGGGATTTGTTGGAAACATTTCACTCCTCTTCAGAAATGGCTTTCCCTAAAACTGATTTGCTGATTTCATTTTACATAGACATCAAAGATCATGTCTTATTAGTAATTTCATCCTCATAAATGCTTGAAAAATTATTGTGTTAACATGTCTTATGTTAAACAGAGATATCAACCTCCTTTCAACCCTGAAGAGTCACTGCACACGTCTGAATCTGAACACACAAACTTCATTTTACAGTTAGAGTCTTTAGATCACTTTAATAACTGTCTTTCAAAAATGAATGAAAATAAATACAGTACTAAAATTTATGAAATTGAATTGTAATTATTTACAACTTAATTATTATTTTTCAACTGTAAAATTTAGTTAGTTTTCAAACTTCTATTGAATGAACAGAATAATTAGAAATGTTATGAAGTTTGCAATTTTTCTGTATTGGTATAAATTTCTGATACACTAAAATAATTCCAAAATACAGTGCTCAAATGCTTCAAAAACATCCTAAACTCAATGAAAATATTTGAGTTCATCAAACTACTGAAAAGAATTGTTTTTTTCCTTCTCAGTGATGATTGAGATCAACTTCCCAGTGTTAGTCTTTTCTAGCAGAATTCCACTGTTTGACTAATTCCAGAAACAGCAAAAATTATCACCACTGTTTAATTGGTCTGAAGAAATATGCAGCGATTGGTAGGGAATATGAGTATTAGAAAACCTTTACTGGTGCCAGCTGAAGGTTTATTGCAATAGCTTTATCACAATGAAAGAAAGTTTCTGTACAAGTATCTCTTTCTATCCACATAAGAATTTTTTTTTAAAAAACATAAAGCAGGTATGATAAATCTTTGCCTGATAAATTATCAGAAAAAAAACAACATTATTTCTAGCCACAAAAAAATCTATTTTTCCTTTTCATATTGAGTTGTCATTACAATAAGATGACAGATTTCTTTTTTAGAAGCAAACACAACTGTATTTTGTATAGTTTCTATGTTTATGAAAATACTACAGATGTGATGTGGTGTAAATTACATCTCAAAATAAAATCAGTAATATGCCAGAGAAGCAATAAAAACCAAATACAAGCTGTGCAGAATTCTCAAATTAGTTACTGTAAAGTAATTCCAAATAATAAAATTATAAAACTAGTAACTGGGTGTCTGTGCTTGCAGACACTGAGCTTAAGACAGAAGTAAGTAAGTAAGTAAGTACTCCACTGAGTAAAAGTCTTACCATTGAAAGCGCAAGATGTGTATTTTTTCCCCTAAAATCATTCAAGGACCAGGTTGCTACTCATGTTTGACATTTTACCCTTGCAATCCAGAACACATATTTCTTAAATTAATATGTAAATTTTATTAGCATTTAAGAGAAGGGCTGTTGTTAATTGTATGTTCAAAGTAGAGCAAACTCAAGTGTTAGTATGTCAGTCTTGACCCAGAATTCATACTGAACCAGGTAAAACCTGGTTTTCTAGGTACAACACAAGTCCCACTTGTTAATTTCAGGGTTTATTAAAGTAGGATCCTTCATGCTAATCAGAAGCTTCACACCCAGCAAGATGGACACATAGTACTGCACAAGCAATGTAATTTCTTAAATCATTGTTATAGTAAGCAGACATACCTAATTTTCCTAACTTTCCTGATAGGTTAATAGGAAATCCTTCACATAATTATTGTAAAAATATCTCTAGCCATTGGTTATATTTCTCTAGAAGACTGTAATATTCAGATGGATCTGGGGAATAGTTCTTAGGCAGGTTATTTTTAGGTTGTTACCCTCCTCTTGTACTTGATTCATTTGATCTCCCAAATCCTGGGTTGCTCAAACCTTACATTGTCGAGTGGAAGCGTTGCCTCATGAGCAACTAATTAACACTGAGAGTGACCCCAAAGAGATATTTTTTGTGCAACAACTGTAATAACATCTTTGCTTGCAACATCAGGGTAAAAGGAAATGGTCAGATAGGGGAATGGAAGAGTTTGAAAGAGAAATTCAGAGAGGAGAACCAGATATATATCTTGAGCAACCCATCTGCTGAAATGGATGTAACTTTAAAAATAGAATGGGTATAATTATTTGAAATGTCATTATTTCCTTGCAAAACCACAAAACCACAAAACACATTTGTTATACAGAGCACATGAAATAAGGGTACAAAGATCAATGCAATTTTTTCACTTGCTTTTTTTTGTCCTGATACAGTATTTCAAAGAATTCAAGATTACTTAAGATGCATACAATTAAAAACTTCAGCTGTTGGAAGCAGCTATCTTAATGAAGTATGTAATTTTATATGTTTAAGTGTTATGCCTTTGGACCGTAACAAGGACACTCAATACTAAAACCACTAAGACACTCTAGCGTAACTGTCACGATTGGTAAAGCTGCATTTATTTTAATAAAGAGACACTAAAACTGAAGTAAGCTATTTAAATATTTAATCATATTTTCTAAAAATTACAGGACACAATTAAAAGTATCTAAGGAAGCAATTAGAAAAATGTTATTAATTTGTGATAATTAAGTTTTTTCTAGTTTAAAACAGCATGAGAACTCTTATCAATTTGATTGCTTCTTATTTGCTTCAAGATTCAATTGGGAGAGGGAGGTTGTGATTTCGACAGTGTTAGTAACCAGAAAACATTGATGTAATTTGATAAAATGCAGTAGAAGAAGAATGTGAGAATTACCATAAATTACTAATAATATTTCTCTAATTTTCCATTTAAAAGTTGTTTCAACTTTGGAATAGTAAGTTTGATTAGAATTGTTGTGCAAAATCACAGTGAAATTATCAGCAACGACGCATACAGTTTTCATAGGAATATCTGCCCTCCAAATAATGCTTTTCATTAGCTAAAAGTAGAGCATGAATTTACAGATTGCATGGGAATTTTTAGTGAGTACACCTGTAGCTTTGCATATGAAAATCATAGAGATTCACTGTAGATAAAGGCCTGCTCTAGACCATGCCTGTTCCTGGAATTTTAATGGGAAGAAATTCTGAAGAATCATCTGGTGGAATAAATCAACAGAGTATAGAGGATGTTGTCTTGGTTTAGGGCAAATTTGGGAGAGAACTTCCAAATGGGGTCTCCCCAAAACCCAAATTTAAATGACCCTGTCCCCCAACTGGTTTGGGAAAAAGATTTCCTTGGAGAAAAGTGGTAAAAACTGTTTATTTAACAGAAATCGAATAATATTAAGCAATAAAACCTCTCACTGTTCAATGAGATGGCAAATCCAGAAAAAGTCCTTTTCATGTGGTGTAGCTCAGCTAGTTCAGTCTCTTATCAATCCCTCTGGTGCTGGAAAGTGCCAAGGCCCAGGCCCCGGTGGGCCACAGGCGTGAGCTCCCGGGGTTTGGCTGGGTGTTCAGTCCAGAGCAGGCTTGCACAGATCCAGGAAAAAGGGAAAAAAAATCCAGGGAACTCCTCTGCCTCAACTAGCTGAAACTAACTAACAGCAAAGGAGAAACTCTGTCCCGCTGTCTGTCCGTGCTGCAGACACCACAGTCCAGGAGCGAGTGTTTTCATTTAACACAAACTGCGGCTTCTTCTTCCCCCGCTTCGCTCTCAGAGCCAGTCTTAAGGGTGCAGAACTTAATATGTAACATAAACAAGGTGATTGGGGTTACAAGCATCATAAAGTCACCCCAGGACAGGTGCATAACAAACTTGAGAGATAAACTGCATGGGCTAGGACTATTCTCCAGATCCATCTAAATAATAACAATTTTCTGTAGTAATATGGCATTTAGGTAGAAATATTTTAATAATAATTATGTGAAGAACTGCATCTTAACCTATCAGGGAAGCTAGAAAAGCTATGTATTCTTATGAGCTCCAACAACATACGTCAAAACACAGCTAAAACAATTATTTGCTGAATTGTAAGGGGCTGCACTTACATAACAGATCACTCTCCATTTCCATGCTCTTTCTAAAGGCCTCTATGTTTTCCTTTGAACTCCACAAAATCTTACAAAAGGATATTGCAGTAAATAACAGTAATTCAGGGTCGGAATAGTCATTGATTCTGTAAACTAATTTTGTGCTTGACGTGATCTCAGATAAATAACATCCATGCACGTATCTCAACCATCCTTGTATCACATCATAATTTCGCATGTGGGTCATCGGAGTGCACTGCTTCTAGGCAGTAGTTCTGGAGCTAAATTAGTTTTTTCTTGTGACTACAAAACATATGATAGTAAATGTTTACAGTAAAAAGTTTTTTATGTTGCTAGAATAACATTAGTCAGAGTTCAATTTTGCTATAAGCCACTTGAGATTAATTTTAAGAATTAAAAAAATTGCTTGAAAATGTCCAAACAAGAGCACATCTGAACAATGAAAACCAGCAGACAAGAACTGTTTCTGATTTTAAATGTCCATTAATATATTTTGTATAGGTGGAAGCAGATATTTTGGAGGGGAAAGCAGCACCACTTGCTGTTGTTATTAAAAGGAGGTATGCACATTGCTTCTCTCACTCTGGACACACTTTCTGGATTGGTCTGTGTGAGAAGCTTATGGAGATTTTTCCAGCTGAAGGCAAATGTTCAGGATGCTTTAAGCCACTCAGTACTACCAAATAGGGAAAGATTTGGAAGCAAATTGTCTGGACTAGTAGCAACTCACTGACAAAATCTCAAGTGCCTACAGGTAGGTTTTAGATGCCTAAAGATTCACATTGTGGTTTTGAGGACTGTGTTTTATATTTAAACCAGGTGCTTGCATCCGT